CATTCCTGCAAATGCCCAGCAGCAGAAAATAGATTTGTGTTATGTTCAAGGCTCAAGTGGGGAGGACATGGAAGAGAAGGTTCTGAGCTTAGCATGCACCAGGAATTTCTGCGGATGCCATTCCGAATAGAGACCTTATTTCCAAAAAAACTGTTTATTTTCAAACTATGACATGCTTTCATACTTCAAGCACTTCCTGTTCTTCAGTGTTAATAACAGGTCTGTTGGGTAGAAGTGCATGTGCCATTTTTTGATGGGTAGTGTGGCTTGAATATTGCAATGTTAAAAATGTGTGATTTTTAACTTTAGCCACTAGATGGCCTTTGAGTTTGCAAAAGCTCCCTGAATGCCATTAGGAGCACCTCCTGACTTTCAGCTAGATCACAAACTTTGACGTGCAAAGGTTTTCTCTTTAAGCCTTTCCTAAAGTTCTCTTTAGCTGGTATTACACATTTATTTGCAAACTTTTGTGAAAGTAAAACGGTAAAAGTAACAACATAATGGTAAGAACTAAAAATGGTAAAACAAAAGAGGAAAGAGACTGTTTTGTTTACTTAATCAGATTTTCTCACTGCACAGGCCTTTCCTTTCTTTCCTTTCAGTGGTCTTGCACAGTCCACATTTGTGAGGAACTACAGAAGGGATACTTTGGGGAAGCAGAAGGAGAAAACTGTAAAAATATTTCCCTCTCTGTTCTGAAGAAAAGGCATAATGCTGGGCCTTACTCACATACAGCAGAGTATGTGCTAAACATTCCTCGTTGCTGGGAGCTGCCTTGGAAGTAGCTGGAATTTCTGAGCTCCACCTTAAGTCTGTTCATTTCTGTTTCTTACATCAGTTTCAGGGAGAATGCTTATTCTTTTGCAATGCATCACATGCTGCCACACTTGGGAGGAATGGCACATCATTCTTCACAGAGCCTTACTCACTACAGCAGTAGGTTCACAGGCAAAATAAGGTGGTAAGCATTGTACAATGGTCAAATTTGACCCGTATTACTGCAGCCAAACCTATTAATGTCAAGCTTTTATGTGCGTAATGTACCATTCTGATTGTTTTATCTCACCTCCTGCACAAGTCATCTGATTTCTCACAGCCTTTACCTAACTTGTAACTTCTGCTTGAACTAGAACATAAAATAGTATAAAATGATTATTAAGAAATTTGCTTGAAAAATACAGCACACATAGCATACAACATAGTGCTGAACAGAGATTTCTGAGTTTGAAGGGAAGTTAGCAGAGCTATTAACCCTTCATTCTGCCATGTCATACTGCTGTTGCTGTAGAGCTTTGAAGAACAGAAGCTGATGTGTACACTGTGCTGCAAACAGACAGACATACTGTCTGGAACTATTTGCAGTGTATGGTATCATGGTGGATTTATAAGTTTGAGCAACAGGTTCTATATTACCTTCTCTGGTATTCTCCATGTCATTTTCCTGGTTTTTAGTGAGTGAGGCCATGGGTTTCATTGTTTTCTGGCAACCAGGAGACCAAGATCTCTGTGATCTAAAAGATTCTGAAATCTCAAAGCTGTGAAAAACTCAATTCCACCTGAAAAATTCTATTAAGTTCTTCATAAGGTATATTTATTCTCTATGATTGCCAAACATCAAGATGGCTATGATTTTAAGCAGAAGAAAGAAGAAAGTCAGAAAGAAGACATAAAAGTGATCCCTATAAAATTTTTTCTCACTTTGTGTGTTGGCCAGTAGTTCTGGAAAGATGTGTAAAAGTATTAAGGCTGCTAGACTCCCACCAAAAGATTTGAGAAGTTAGATATATACTTCAGATTTAGAAGCCTAAATATGCTTTGGAAGTCTGTAAAATGTAAAAATTTCTTTGTAGATAGTCACTTTCACTCTTTCATGGACTAGCAGTTGCACTTCCTGCCTCTAGCACTTGGGCAACAGCATCAGCGCTCAGGCATTACTCCGGAGTGAGACACTATTCTTCCCCAGACCATGCAAGAAAGTGGTTGCCATTCAAATTATTAGCAAAGCTGAAACTAGCTAAGAGTCATCTGTCATGTAATTTTGCAGAGACAAACAGGAAGAGTGGTGAACCTGGGCATGTTTTGTATGCTACCCTTGCACCCACCCTCTCTTCCTTTTGGCAGAACAGGAAACCGTCTTCTGTTTTTCTTCTTTTTTCTTAAGGAATTAGAAAAAAGATAAAAGTCATGATTTGTTCTGCAGTTGAGCCCAAAAGCCCCTAGTATAAGATCAGTGTTGTGAAAAGCTGCTGTGCATATACCCAGCACCCTAGATAATACTCTGAAGTCCTTACCGTGCAAATTGGAAGTTTTGCAGATGAGAATCCAGGTGCAGTGGGATTAAGTGGTTTGCCAAATCCCATTGGGAATCTGTAGCACTGTTACAAATGAAACTTCATGTATCCTGAGCCCTAGTCTGTGCCTCTGAGCTTTACACTATTGAAGTGGTGCTTTGCTGAAACTTGGTTTTAAAAAACAATGATTAGCACAACATGATGGCCATAGTTCTTAAAAGTTAGGCTGAGACACAAGTGAAGACTTAGGAATCTAAGTCATTTTTATCCAGTTTTTCTCTGTGGTTCAGACATGGAATAGCTGTGGAAGCCTTCACCAGATGTCAAAAGCCACATCATAAGCGTTGTGACTCATCTAGAAGTGCTAAATTTATTAATCTGAACTTATTAATCAAAACTATGCTTGTGGTCTGGTGACAGTGTAGGATGATCAGTGGGCATTTCCCTAAGGGAGCTGTGGAAGTACTTTTCTCAGGTCAGACTCTTCATCTTCGCACTTGACCAAAGATCCGGGATGGTAATGCAGTTCCTTTCATTCTCTTCCAGGCTTTCATTAAAGCCTGTCTTGGGGGAAAGGGATCAATTACATCATCTCTTGAGGTCTGTTCCAGCCCTGGAATGTAGCATCGTTCTTAATATCCTTGGTTTCTGTATGCACTCCTGAATCTGCTTTAGGATACACTCCTGAATCTGCCTTAGGATGAACGTGTTTCTCTCTTTCATCCTTGGTTATGTTGCAATGTATGCCTAAAAGCTGGAATCTTCTCTCATTTCTTTGCCAAGGGAAACATACAAATCTTTAAAAAAAAAAAAAGAGCCAGTCAAAAACTTAGGAAGTTGCTGTGAAAGAACACTCCGAAAATCTCTTCCTAATGCAGTCCTTTTTCACCAACAGATCTCCAAAAATCTTTTATAAAACTTATCATGGTCTCGTTTTACAGCTCAGTGCTCCATCAAGTGGACTAGATTGTCAAAGCACAGGAGTTATAGGCTTAAATCTTGTCTTCTTATGCCACTAAGTAGTGAGGTTCCAAATTGAATGCTTTGGTGGTTTTTTTGTATTTTCATTGTATGTTGCCTGTGTAATTTTATTAGGTATAGTGGACAACAATTGTCCAGTGGATCAAGTGTCTGTTGTTGTATTGTTAAATTTACCGATTTTTTTTATGCATAGTTTGTTTTTCTTGTGGTTTTTCTTTTCCCCTGCTTTTTCTACTTGTCTGCCTACTTTAAACTCTCTTCTTTTATTTGCTTTCTTTTCTTTCAAACCCATGAAGTATAAATTCCATTGGAATCAATGAGTTAAAGGTATGTGCTTAAAAAGAT